CTTCTCCACAACCCAGGGAAGCAGGGCAATTTGCCATTTAAAGGGCCCGTTACAAATAGCAGTTTGTAACAAGGTGTCAATCCATATCTGCCAAGTGACCCGATGTAGGGGACCAGTCCCTATTCTGCTCTGTGTCAGTGTGTATCAGGGAACCTTAGGACAGGTGTCAATCCATATCTGCCAAGTGACCCGATGTAGGGGGAACAGTCCCTATTCTGCTCTGTGTCAGTGTGTATCAGGGATCCTTAGGACAGGTGTCAATCCATATCTGCCAAGTGACCCTATGTAGGGGGACCAGTCTCTATTCTGCTCTGTGTCCGTGTGCATCAGGGGCTCTGAGGACAGGTGTCAATCCATATGTCAAGGTGTCAATATGTCATATGTCAGGTGTCAATCCATATTATTGTGATTTAGGAATGTTAGGTGATTTCTGCCCTTTATGGATTAAAACCAGACTCTATCAACTGTGTAATTTTCCATGGGAGTTTTGCCATGGATCCCCCTCCGGCATGCCACAGTCCAGGTGTTAGTCCCCTTGAAACAACTTTTCCATCCCTATTGTGGCCAGAAAGAGTCCCTGTGTGTTTTAAAATTCGCCTCCCCATTGAAGTCAATGGCGTTTCGGGCGGTTCGCCGGTTCGCGAACATTTGCGGAAGTTCGCGTTCGCCGTTCGCGAACCGAAAATTTCGGGTTCGCGACATCACTACTCCCTGATCTATACTTCTACTTACTTCTTCATAGAATGCAATTAGGTTAGTTTGACATGACCTATGTTTCATAAAAACCAAAGGAAAAAAGTTACCTGCGCTCTCTCCTTAATCCCTATGTATATTAAAACAAATGGAGGTCATTTAGTTACTCCAATGGCCACTGGAGGGAATGCCCGCCTGCCAACGTCAAGGCAGACCCCCCTAGACGGGTCCTACTCTGACCCTTTACCTTGCTTCTTTGAGCTTCTGGCAAAAATATCTCTAATGAGACAAAAAGGGATATTTTTTATATACACCCCTATATACTTGTTAACCCTTAATAAGGAACACATGGGATGGGCGGCAGCATTGTAACCTAGCTATGTGATACAAATAGTGAATACAAATATTAATGCGCTCACTCCCATCACTCCTGGGTGGCAGCAACGACAACAGTACACATCAGCTAATACATATAGTAAAAACCATAGAAAAAAGTTACCTGTGCTCTCTCCTTAATCCCTATGTATATTTAAACAAATGGAGGTAATTTAGTTACTCCACTGGCCACTGGAGGGAACGCCCGTCTGCCAATGTCAAGGCAGACCCCCTGAGACGGGTCCTACTCTGACCCTTTACCTTGCTTCCTTGAGCTTCTGGCAAAAATATCTGTAATGAGACAGAAAGAGGTATTTTTTATATACACCCCTAAATACTTGTTAACCCTTGAAGACTAACCTATTGTGAGGAACCGTATCAAATGCCTTGGCAAAATCCAAGTAGATCACATTCACTGCAACACCCTGATCTATACTTCTACTTACTTCTTCGTAGAATGCAATTAGGTTAGTTTGACATGACCTATGTTTTATAAAACCATGCTGATTGTTGCTAATAACAAAGTTCTTTGCAATGAATTCCTGAATATTATCCCTTAATAGCCCTTCAAATATTTTCCCAGTCACAGAAGTTAAGCTCACAGGTCTATAATTTCCAGGTAAGGATTTTGAACCCTTTATAGGAACGACATCTGCCTTCCTCCAATCCTCTGGTACAATTCCTGAGACACACATGGGAACCAGCTCGTCACTAAATCACAACTGCATCACCTCCATAGCCACCCCTATGAGAAAGGGGTGAGTCCCAAACTGGCTCATACGTAACCCTACTCTCTCCAATCTGGACTGAAAAACCCTGATAAACTGAAACCAGGAAAGCAAGGAACCATCCCGATACACCAAAAATGAGCCCTACACTGCCAGCTGCCTAGTCATATACCGTGACACTGTGGTAACTTGGCACAACCACGATCCTGAATAAGTGCAAACCACGATATCTTTATCTTTACTGCAGATGTCAGTCTTAGAACGGGCCAGGTGAATCAACCTATCAGCAGCCAGGCAGACGTCCACAGACTGAATGTCCCCATGTCCTACCTGATTAGCACTAATGAGCTCCCCAATCCGAAAAGCTCAGAAAAAGGCTAAGATAAAAGTCAACCCAAACAAAAGGAATTCAAAATAAATTACCAAGCAGAACCTGTACATGTAACCTGGAAAACCAAAATAGCTGCTTGTGCAAGGAGCACACATATTTTAAACTACCTCCTGGGATTGTCTTTAAAACAAGTCATTGAGGAGCCAACTCGTAAGGAGGCCATAATAGAATTAGTGTTAACAAATGGAGATTTGGTATAAGATATTACTGTAGGTGAACCTTTAGGATTTAGTGATCATTAGTCAGTGTGGTTTAATATAAGAACAGTGGCTGAGTCAAACCACACAAAAACAAAAGTTTTAGACTTTAGATAAACCTACTTTTCTAAAATTAGAATATATGTAAAGGAGTCATTATCAAACTGGAGCAGTTTAAATAGAGTCCAGGAGAAATGGGATTATTTAAAAGTTTCACTAATGAAGGCAACAGAAAATTTCATTAGGCTTTTTAGCAAATCAAAACATTTAAAAAAAACTACTGTGGTACTCCGCAGATATGACCAAAATAGTAAAACGCTAAATGTTAGAATTTAGTAATTATATAAAAAACAGAGTGAGGAAGATAGACAGATCTATAAGATTAGGCAGAAAGAGGCTAAGCAAGTTCAGAGAGCTTCCAAATCACACACAAAAGAGAAAATAGCTCAATTAGAAAAAAAGGGGACAAAACATACATAAATAAGAAAAGGAAAGTAAAACAAGGATTATTTAGATTAAAATGCCACACTAGCGCAATTAAGGGAATGCAGGATAGGAAGGTAAGTAGAAGAGGATAAAAGTCTAGCTGAGTGCCTAAATTAATATTTTTTGTCGCTATTTACAGATGAAAATTAACCCGTTAACGCCGTTACGGCGTGCTATGCCGTCCCGTCTTTAATGGGCTTAAACGCTGTTAGGGCAGCATAGCATGCCGCGGCGTTTAAGCCCACCCACGTTTCCCCAATTCCTCCTAAGTTGCAGTTTGCGGTGTGGGGGCCTGCCAGGCAACCCAGGCAGCCCTCCTGGGGCCAATGAGTGGTGATCTGAAGTTTGTGATAGCAGTGATAGCCAGTCACTGCGATCACAGTTACAATGTGTCAGCCAATGATTTTAAATCACTGGCAGACACATTGTCTCTGACCCTTTCCTCACCTCACTTCGATCTGAGAGAGAGAGGTAGAGAGATCGTTGTTGGTGGATCCTGTAGGAAAAAGAATTGTAAACTTTTAGTAAAATTAAAAAAAAATTTTTTTTTAACCCTTTCAGTGCTGATCACTGCAGTAACACAGTGATCAGCCTGATTAGGGCTGTTAGTACATTTGTACTATTATAAAAAAAAATAAAAAATTAGGGTCAAAAAATATTTGTTTACATTTTTTTGATCCTTTGTCAGCTGCAGGAACTCAAATCTCCCTTAACCCTTTCCCCGCTGCCGTGATCACTGTACTGTACAGTATCGCTGCTATACGGTACTGTACAAGTGATCACTGTGATCAGAGGGCTTTTTTTGGGGGGGGGGTTATTAAAATTAACCCTTTCAGTGCTGATTGCAGCAGTCTAAACTGCGATCAGTACATTTATTTTAATTTTCCTGGGTTTTTGAGGGTGGGTAGTGGGTATTAGGCAGGCAGGAATTTAGTAATTTGCCCCCTAGTTTTTTTTATTGATTAGTCCCCCCTAGAATGGCCCGTCGCTACTCAGCGGAGGAGGCGTACGCCATTCTGTCAGGCAGTGATAGTGACACTCTGCAAGACAGTGACACTATCACTGCCTCTGACATTGAGCCTCTGAATGAGTCCTCAAGTGATGGTGCCCCACCACCACCTACAAGAGGAAGCTCAGCAAGCTACCAAACCAGACGTCGCCAGAAATACCCCCATTCACGGCGGCCCCTGGCATCACTGTTATGGTGGATGCTTGGGAGCCAATTAAATTTTTCGAGCTGTTCATGTCAGAAGACATTTTTCAGCTAATGGTTGAGAAAACCAACTTCTTTGCCAACCAATATCTGACTGCGAATCCGGTGTCACATTACAATCGGCAAAATATGTGGCACCCCCCGGATCTCGCAGAAATGTGCAAATTTTGGGCCCTAACTCTAGTTATGGGTATTGTCAAAAAGCCGAGTATCAGGTCCTACCGGTACAAGCACCCCATCCTGGCTACCCCTCTTTTCCGAGGGGATATGAAGAGGGATCGCTATGAGCAGCTGCTGCATTTCCTCCACTTGAACAATAACGCACTGTGCCCCCCAAGAAACGACCCATTGCTCTACAAAATTCGGCCCCTAATCCAACTCCTGTCAGACAAATTCTCCCAAAATTATGTCCCTGAAGAAAATATTTATGTAGATGAGTCCCTAATGAAGTTTAAGGGCAAATTACTTTTTAAGCAGTATATCCCTTCTAAACGGTCCCGATATGGTGCCAAATTTTACAAATTGTGCGAATCCAAATCTGGATATACATGGGCGTTTCATATTTATCAGGGGAAGGATAGCCACCAGGATGCCCTGATTCTGTGGGTACAAGTGGCAAGATAGTATCCCTTAAATAAGGGATACAGGCTATGGGTTGACAACTATTATTCAAGCATAGAGTTATTTAAAACTTTATTTTGCTTTGAAACCCTAGCCTGTGGCACAGTGTGGAAGAACCGCAGCGTTTTCCCCCAAACCCTGGCAAGAGGCAGATGCAGTAGAGGCTCCCATTCAGCGCTCCACCAGGATGAGTTGCTTGCCCTTCTCTTCACCGATAGGAAGGATGTATTCATGCCGTATACAATGCACGACAAAACTGAGGTGGAACTGAGCAGCTGGAGAAGCCAAAGTGCATTGTAGACTACAGCAAGTTTATGGGGGGAGTAGACTTGGCTGATCAGTGTATACAGCCCTATCTGGTGAACCGAAAGAATAGGACCTGGTACAAGAAAATTGCAATCTACGTAACCCAGATTGCAATTTTCAACTCCTATGTGCTTTATAAAAAGGAAGCCATAGGTAGACCATGCCCATTTCTAGAGTTTATGGTCCAAATTTTGTCTCAAATTTTATTTGCCTAGGCCCCCAATCCTAACCCTCCTTTGGAATCTGAAGATGTCCAAAGACTTTTTAGCAAACATGTCACTTCCCGAATCCCCCCCACACCCTGTAAAAGGTCACCCCAATGTAAATGCCGGGTTTGCTGGAAAAGAGGAGTCCGAAAGGACTCCAGTTATTATTGCCCCTCCTGCCCATCCCTATCTGCCCTCTGCATAACAGACTGTTTCAAAGTCTTCCATACAGAGGTGAACTACTAAATCACTCTGTATGGTACTTTGGCAGTTTGTTTGCTTGATTACCCTGGATTCCCTGACCTCAGCTTGTCCTGACCATGCTTTGTGAGCTGCCTGTACCGACCCATTGGCTTGTTTTACCGACTACTCTGACTTCTGGATTCCCCTGACCTTGACCTGTCCCTGTTTTACGCTAGACATTCTAAAGTGGCTACACCAAACAACTCAAAATACTACATTTGTAGTACCTGTTAAAATATGACTTTACAAAGTAAAACTCTAATCCCAGGGTTAATACTGTGATTAGCACTGAAAGTGTTAAAAAAAATAGCTTTTTAAAAAAAACTTCTCAAACTTTTCACACAGTGACTCTGTGTGAGATCAAAGATCTCTCTCTCTCGCCTTCAGAACAAAGTGTATGTGGGGGGTCTGTTCTATTTGTAGAAAACCTGCAAAAATGGTAAATGGGGTTACTGTTATATTCAGGAGACGATTTTAAATAAAAATACAGATTTTTTTATTGCACTTACTAATATCAAGATTATGACATTTCCTGTGAAAATGGAACGTGTGTAAAAAAACACAAATAAAAGTAGAAATCGCTACATGGGCACTGCATGTCTGTTAAAGTGGCTAGACCAAACAACTCAAACTATGCCATTTGGAATACCCTGGGCTGCCTGAGTTAAAAAACAATGCCATCATGGGTGTAATTGTATCTCCTGGGCTGCCATACTTTCTCAAAAGTGACACATTGTCAAAAGTGACACATTTTGAAACTTACAAGCTGAAAAGGGCATCTAATATATTTGGCCCTGTGAGTTACTGAAACAAATTGAAATAATGGTACGTGGGGGTACTGTTATATTCGTGAAACAATGTGTAATCAAAATACAGAGGCTCTATTGCAGTTACGCATATCAGGAATATGAAATATCATGTGGAAATTGAGTTAATGTGTTTGAAAAAGCACAAATAAAACTATAACCACTATATGGGCCCTGCATATCTGATAAACTGGTTAGGCCAAACATATCAATACACACCATTTAGAATTCTCTGTTGCCTACTTTTGAAACTGGTATGCCATAATAGTGGAAATGTTATTACCCAGGCTGCCATGCCAGGCTGCCATCTCAAAGGTGACATAGACCCAGCAAACCAATCTAATACATTTCTATGTGTAAAAACATAAATGGATAAGACCTATATTGGACCCTGTAACTTTCCAAAACATCATAAAACATATACATGTGGGTTACCGTTGTACTCATGAGACATCACTGACCAGAAATGTGAGCGTTTCAGATCTGTGAAATGTATAAGAACGATAATATCCACACTGAAAGTACAGTTTTTATGTAAAAAATGCACACAAAAAAGTCTGAACACCAACTTTGGCTACTGTTTGTGACTAAGTGGCTATTACAAAAGACTATACATACCCCATTTTGAATACCCTGGGTTGTCTACTTTTTCAAATGGTATGCCATGACGGGGGTAATTTTCATTTCTGGGCTGCCATACGGCCCAGCAAACCAATCTAAAAACATTCTATGTGTAAATAAAATTAATGGACAAGCCATATATTGGACCATGTAACTTTTGAAAAACCCATAAAACCTGTACGTGGGGGGCACTGTTTTACTCATGTGACATTGCTGAATACAAATGTGTGTGTGTTATTGCAGTAAAAGTGAACAGTATTATGACATTCACAGTAAAAATGACATGCAGAACTTTAAAAATAACCACATTTTGTCATTTTTCTATGTTTTTTTATTTTATTCACAAAAAAGTTAGTTCCATATATAAAGTTTGATATGAAATGAAAGCTCTGATTCTCCTGAACAAAAATGATATATAATAAGTATGGGTGTACGTAAAATGAAAGCTGTAAATTATTGTTGAACAGACATATAGTAAAATTCTGTGGTTTGTTTAAATTTTTTTGGATCACAACTTATACATTTGGCTCCATCCTTAAGGGGTTAAGGAAAGGGACCTCAGGTTAGGAAAACAAACAAATTAGTAATTTGTTACGTGGTAGTTTACAGAGGAGGAGGTTCTATTTCAACTGTCAAAAGTAAAGACAAATAAGCCAATAGGGCCTGATGGAATAAACCCTAAGGTATTAAAAGAGTTTAGTGGTGTACTAGCAAAACCATTAACAGATTTATTTAACCAATCATTGTTAACAGGAGTAGTCCCAGAAGATTGGAAAGGAGGAGTCAGGCAACTATAGGCCAGTAAGCCTTACTTCATTAGTGGGGAAAGTAATGGAAACCATGTTAAAGGATAGGATTGTTGAACATCTAAAATCACATGGAATTCCAGATCAGAGACAACATGGATTTACTTCAGGCAGATCATGCCAAACTAATATTATTGATTATTTTTTATTTTTGATTGGGTAACTAAAATAATAGATCATGGTGGTGCAGTAACATTGCTTTCCTAGCTAACATAGAAGGCTTATCAATAAATTGCAATCTTTAAGTTTGGATTCCAATATTGTTGAATAGCAGTGGCTGAGGCAACAGAGTGTTGTAGTCAATGGAGTATATTCGAAGCATGGTCTTGTTACCAGTGGGGTACCTAAGGGATCTGTACTTGGACCCATTCTCTTTCAAATTTTTATTAGTATTATTGCAGAAAGTCTTAATGGTAAGGTATGTATTTTTACTGATGATACCAAGATATGTAACAGGGTTGATGTTCCAGGAGGGAAAAGACAAATGGCAAATGATTTAGGTAAACTAAAAAATGGTCAGAGCTGTGGTAGCTGACATTTAATGTTGACAAGTGCAAAATAATGCATCTTGGGCGTAAAAGCCCAAGGGCCGAGTACAGAATATCTGTTAGAAGGGGTGTGTCTTGGCCACCATTTAGAGGAGCTCCTGGGACATTGGGACAATAATGTTCCAAAATAACTATTCATCTCTTTAATATACTTATTTTATTCATCATTATTGCTTTGAGAAAACCTTCACAACATGTAGAAGCAAAAACAGCTGAAAAGACTGTACCTTTTATTAAGAAAACTGTCACTGCAGCGCAGTGGCGGATCCGGGGGGGGGCAACGGGGCAATTGCCCCCCCCCCCCCGAGAAATCCGCCAGTCTCCCTCTCCCCTGCCAGCACATGCAGGTGCTAGCCCTGCAATGTGCCTGCGGACCGGAGGGGAGATCAGAAATCTCCCTCCCCGGTCCGCAGGCACTGTGCTGACAGCCGGCGGCGGAGGGAGAGGGAGGACCCGGAGCTCAGGCTGCGGCTCCTCCGGGTCCTCCTCTCGCGAGATTTGGAGCGTTGCAGCGGTTACCACGGCAACACTCCAAATCTCGCGAGAGTGAACTGTAGCCCGGGAGCGCAGGCTAGAGCTCACTCTCCCCACTGGACCACCAGGGAATCCCCACCGGACCACCAGGGATCGAAATATGTCCCCCCTCCTCCCCAGTAAAGGTAAGAAGGGAGGGGGGACATAGAATATTTATATTACAAATTTAAATAAAAAATATATATTTAAAAAAAAAAGCCCCCCTACCCTTATCACACACACACACACACTTTACACACATACACTGATCCCCATACTGCCCCCCCATACACACATTGCTCCCCCCCATACTACTGCCTCCCCCATACACCCATGCTCGCTCCCCCATACACCCATACTGCCCCCATACACACATTGCCCCCATACACCCATACTGCCCCCATACACACACATTGCCTCCCATACACCCATACTGCCCCCCTATACACACACATGCCCCCATACACCCATACTGCCCCCCCATACACACACATTGCCCCCATACACCCATACTGCCCTATACACACACACTGCCCCCCATACACACACACACTGCCCCCCATACACACACACACTGCCCCCATACACACACACCTCCCCCATACACACACACACTCCCACACACATACACTCACCCTCGGACACACACACTGTCCCCATACACACACGCTGCCCTGCCCCCTATACACCCATACTGCCCCCCCATACACACACACATTGCCCCCATACACAATCTGTAAGGGCCTGCCCCCATACACACACACATTGCCCCTGCTCTTATACACCCATACTGCCCCATACACACACACTGCCCCCCCCATACACACACACTGCCCCCCATACACACACACTGCCCCCATACACACACACACACACTTCCCCATACACATACCTCACACACATACACTCACCCTCGACACACACTGTCCTCTATACACACACGCTGCTCCTGCCCCTCATACACACACACACTGCCCCCTGCCACACACACTCTCTACACACATACACTGCCCCCATACACACACACACTGCCCCCTATGCACACACACTGCCCCTATACACAGCCACACTGCCCCCTATACACACACACACACATTTCCCATACACACACTCTACACACATACACTACCCGATACACTGTCCCCCATACACACATGCTGCCCTGCCCCCATACATATACACACACTGCCCCCCATACACACACTCTACACACATACACTACCCGATACACACACACTGCCCCCATACACTGCCGCCCCATACACACACATACACTGCAATACTCACACACACACTTCAACTGTTACACACACATACTGTCCCACACATACACTGCCGCCCTCACACACACACTGCGCACACACTGTCCCCCTCACACACACACACACTGCACCACTCACACACACCACTGCTCCTATGCCCTACTACTGCCCCATTTCCCAGCAGACCTCAGGTAAGTTGTCAAACTGTTCTTAAACGGTTTGACTACTTA